CGGAACAGTAATCTCGAGTATCACAGTAATTAAAACAGTTGCAGTAAGAAGCTTAACTATCCGAAGAGGAATCATAGATATACCTTATCTCTCTCATTCACTCTCCACCTCCTTCCCTCTTCCCTCTTTTCTTTCCTCTTTTTCTTGGCCCCTAAGTACATTTGCCAGGAACTCTGCCACCTGCTCAGTAACTTTGGGGTTTTTATCCCCTAGCAAGAATTCAATACCTCTATTGGTCGTAGCCTTAGAGAGTTGAAGGAGAGGGCTAATCAAGTGTAAACATAGCTGAGTAAACAGCGGGCAGTTTAAGAGGATATGCTGAACAGAGTCAGGTTCTTTGCAGAGACATCTGCAGAATCTTGCCTCATAGGGGATACCCTTGTATCTGCCTGTGACCACGGCCGAGGGAAATATATTGAATCTGGCTAGCATAAATGCTCTGCGTTGAGAAGGGATTGTTAGGCTTGAAAAGTACTGAGCCATAGAGTTTTGTGGGAAAACAAGACCAAGGAAATGGGGGGAACAAGTCCCCTCTGCTCCAGCTTTTATTAACTGTAAATCAATATCCTGAATTCTCCTTTGAATTATTTGGAATATATAGGTTTCATTGGAATTAACCAGGGAGTCTAAGTCAATACCTAAAAAATTATTTTCTCCGTTATTAATTGGGACCATTTAGAAAGATATGGATCAGCAGTTAGAAAAGCGATAAGACTATTTGGAGGAGGTTGAAAATAAAGATGTAACCAATATTTGATGGCAGCAATCCAAGCTCTAGATTCTATGGCATAGAGACCCAACTCAGCACACAAAGTAGAATAACTAACCGAGTTGGGAATGCCAATATAACACAGAAAGATTGCATTAACTCGTTCAACCTTTTTATTAAGGTTCTGAATCTACACAGGAACCCCATACAGTAAGTGGGGAATTACTGTAGCCCGAAAAATCCGTAGGGCAGCTGGGACAAATTGGTTACCTTTTTTATAGTGAAAATGGGTTACAGCAGCCATCTTGTTCTTAGCCAAGCTAAGAGAATGCTTCTGATGCATGGACCATTTTAGATTATAATGAAAGAGAATACCCAAGTATCTAAAAGATTTAACTTGTTCATTTTCTCTTCCATTGATCTTCCAGACAGAACGCCTCCATGATTTAAAAAATACCAACATTTTAGTCCTGTCAAAATTAATAAACAAGGAGTTCTCATTACAGAATGAAATAAATGCTGATAGGGAGCGCTTTAATCCTACTTTAGTTAAAGAAAGAACTGCTGCATCGTCCACATAGAATAAAATAGGAATCAGGGCTGAGTTTAATTTGGGAACGTGTCCATCACTTTTAGCCAAATAGGAAGGGAGATCTGAAAGGAACAAATTAAATAGAGAGGGGGCTAAAACGCAACCCTGCTTTACACCCTTGGTCACAGGAATTTTTTGTGTTAGGGAGCCTCTGTCATCAAATCTAACCTGACAGAGAGATGAAATTTATGCAACAAAAACAGAAGGCATTGGTCAAGATCCAATTTGTGTAATTTTCCCCACAGAGTCTATCGACTGAGTCAATAAATGCAACGTATAACTTGCCTCTAGGTTGCCAGAGATATTTTTCAGCTAAAAAAGATAATGCAACACAGTGATCTAAAGTAGACTGGTTTGTTACAAATTCAATTTGCTCTCTCCCTAGTAAATTATGAGAAGTCATCCATTCAGATAATTTCTTAAGAAGATGTTTAGCATCAATTTCCCCTAGAATAGACAAGAGTCTAATGGGTCTGTAGTTCTCTAGGTTGTTAGGGTCCCATTTTTTGAAAATCGGAATTATTATTATTAGGTTCCTTATCATTATCTAAGACCACCAGAAGTAATCAGAAATGAACGCATCTATATGATTGGATACAGTGTCTTAAATTAAAATGACCATGAAGTGATGGCTGCTGTGTCTGAGGCAATCTCCACTGTAACTCAGAGTGGAACTCAGTTACAGATCTGTTTGCTCCTGTAGGCAGCCGCCTACAAGTGTTTAACAAGTGTTGTCCTTAGAAAGTTTCGTCTTACACTCAGTGCTGGTATAAATGATTAAAGAGGAAGTATGCTTTTTAACAAGTTTGAAGTGATAATTTTGCCCTTCACTAGTGTGAATTTTATATTTTCACACATTTTCTCTGTGATGTGTTGAAGATATTTAGCTACATTTATAGTTTCCAGGGGTGTAGAAACTGGCTGCAGTATTTTCCTGGCTTTTAATGGAATTCCCTTTACATGGCATAGCCATGTAGAGGGATTTGCCAATAAGTAACGGATACATTAAGATGATAGATTCCCAAAGGAAAAAACGAAAACACATGCACACACTATTAATTACAGGGTATAGGCACTATTGGGATTAGAAAGGATTTCTTAAAGCTTACAATTGTGAGATGCATGATAAAACTGATAATCACAGCTGTAAAGGGGTAAAAGGAAATTTCTAGTCTCCCAGTTATGGAGAAAAACTTGAAAATGAAACTAGAATGCTTTTAAAAAGGCCAGAAACTGAAGAGAAACAAAATTAAAGCCAATAGATTGTGGTTAGTTGAACAGATCAAAGAGTATTTTTTATATTGTCAATTTTTGTTTTGAATTTTGAACATTTTGCATGTCAATATATTTAATTCTCAATATGGCACCATCTGGAGATACTTACATCTGGAGACTGGGGCCATGAACAGACAGTACAGAACTTTCTATAACCCTGAGAAAAGCCCCAGATTTGCAGGAAAACATGAAATTAAAAGCAAGTACATGGGGGGGGGGCGTTAAAATCCCACAAGCACCTGTAATTTTAAGAAACAGATGTGTACAGTGGCTTTCGCTAAGCAACCACAACAGGCTTGGCTTCTGTTGAGAAAGGACAGGAGAGGGTGGCAGGCCCAGCAGCAACCACCAGGCATCTTGTGACTACATGATTCAATGCCTCACTCAGGCCAGGCTTTTTGCTACTGCACAACAGCACTACCCCATGAAAGCCAATGTGGTGTAGCAGATTGAGTTCCAGACTATGATGTGGGAGATCCAGGTCTGAACCTCCACTCTGCTTGTTGGGCCAGTCACACACACTAAGTCTAACCAACCTTGTGAGGATAAAATGGAAGAGGAGAATGGTGCAAGACAGGATATAAATGAAGGAAATAAATATACTTGAAGATGGGGGAAAAGATAAAAATATAGGCCTGTTGGTGTGTAGGAAGCCGAGAAGGAAACAGGTATGGTTGCCAAGTCCCCCCAGCATGCGGGAGATCCCCTAGTTTCTGGTGTTCCCCTCCGGTGCCAGCCAGCTGGCCAGTGAGGGAGAGTTACCGCCCCAAATGTGATGTGCCTACATCACCCAGAAGTGAAATAGGTGGATCGGCGACACTCTGGTTTTTGGGCAAAACTCTATAGTAGAATTAGCTGCAAACCATAGAATTTGCCCAAAAACCAGAGTGTCAAACCCCCCCCCCCCAATGTCACTGACATGCTTATGTCATTTCCAAGTGATGTAGGCACAGCTTGCTTCTTCCCTCCCCTCTCCCGGAGCATTCCAGTAATTCCCCTGCTGGCTTGTCGTTTGTACCTGGCAATCCTAGAAACAGGGAAAGTTGAGCATATGGGGTTTACCAGGATGGAAGTGGGAGATATGTGGGGAGGGGGATACAGGAAAAGTGAGGTGCTTCCAGAAAGTCCTTGCATGTCCTCCACTGCTCAAATGGGGCTAGCTCAGCTGGCACTGTGTACCTTGGCCAGAGTTTTCTCAGGGAGAGGCTGCCAGGCAGAGGGAAGGAGAGAAAGCTGAAGACTGGGGTCATATAGAGGTAGGCTGGCTTCTGAGTGCGAAGGAAAGCAGAAAAAAGGGAGAGGCTATGGTGGCTTTCAGGGAAGGAAAAGAGGAGAATGTGGGGGAGGGTAAATGAGATATCCTCCATGAGTCTTTGTGGGTCTCCCACTTATTGAACTCTACTTGCAAATAAGCTGGGGGATGTTTTGGTCCAATTTATCTCTTCTTGTCCTTAGTGGCTCATATACAGGATCCCACTTTTCAGCAGGTGCAGTGTAAAATATATTTATTAAACACCAGGAATTAGAAGTATGAGCTTAACACACAAAATTCAAATCGTGCTCACCTAAAAACACTAGCCACTTTCCTTTGCATAGCGCTCCTGTGGTTATAACCACATGTGTATAAGAATGTTTGGCTGTGGTAAGTCATGTTAATATTGGGAAAGTGCTGTATACGTACTAAGGCTGCAATCCTCCTGGGGGAATGGTGCAGACTGAATTCAGAGTTGCCTGCTTCTGAATGAACATGCATAGAATGGAGCTCCAAATTACATTTCTAATTTTGGATTTAATTCAAAATAATTACTTATAAAATAGTGAATTAGAGTCCTGAATGTGAATTAGAATCAGCTATCAACACAGAGGCATGAATGGGGGTGGGTGTTGTATAGGCCAATTTTATATGCGTTAAATTGTTTTGAGCAGTCGGTATCTGAGTGAGGGAGTGGCTTTGTATTGCCTGGTTTTTTGTAACTCCCAGCTTTTTGTATATGCTGCCACTGCTAATATTTTGAGTTTGTTTTGGCCCACAAAACAAAGACAAGTCCTTTAAACAGATATGTCTAAAGGATAGTGTCTGTCAAATATGTTGATTTGCTTTCCATACATTCTTATCGGCAGTCTAGACGCAATAAGAACACAAGTGAACAGTGTATTGTTTTTTAAAAAAGCAGTTTCCTTCCTTAAACAAAGAGGTTCTCAGTCAGTTTTACGAAAGGATGGGAACAGCATTGCTCCAAAAGGGAGGATGAGAGAGAGAGAGAGAGAACAAAATTATTCTCTTGGTGTCTCCCATATAATCAATAGATAAATAAAATGAACAGTGTTTCAGTAAATATAAAAAACCATCAGCATTGCCTAATAATGTAATCTACTGCAGTTCCAAGTACTTTGGCATTATGTTGCATCTCTTTGTCTTCACAGAAAGCAGGAGCCACTGGGGAAAAACGACCAAGAGGCAGACCTAGGAAATGGGTAAGTTTTCTTTATGTTCCTCAGGAGACAACTTTAAGGAAGGCTAATTGATTTAAGTTTATTTTAATGAAATGGTCAATATAGCAGAATCTGTCAGGCAACCCACCTCTGATAAAACCTGGGCCTGTGAATGTTGCAGGTAACAAAGTTCCAGTTGGAGGGGACCATGGGGCAAGGAAGAGAGAGCCACATAATAAATATAAACTAGTTAAGTGATACTTAAAAACTTGTTCCTTTTCTGGACCTAAGAACACTTTACCTGTTTTCTGGAGACGTCCCTGGCTCTGGTGGAGAGGTGTATTCTGAAGTTCTGTGTTTCCCAGTGCACATGGGCTTGATTTGGATCAGGACCATTCTGAGTGGAGAGAGGAGGCCTAGGCTTCCCCCTGTTCTCTTTGCCCTACCTGTAAGGGCCCCAAGTGCAAACTGAACTTGTCCTGGTAATGGAAACCTGATGTGTAGCTTAGGGGTCACCAACTGTTTTCGACCTACTTCTGAGTATTGAACAATGTCCTCAGCTACTTGCCCTCCCTCCCGGCATGTTACTATGTTTTGTTTGGTGCCAGAAACAGAATGTGGATTAGGATACACACCAGAAATGAAACCATCAGCTAAGCATCACAGAGAAATATCATTTGGGGGAAAAAAACTTTTAAAAAAGCCTAGAGCCAATCTTTTTGTGATTTCTCCTGGGTCTTTGAGTGGATACATGATCTATCCTGTAGCAGCTGACAAGCTACCAGTAGGGCACATGTTACTTGTTGGAGACCCCTGGAGCAGCTCATCAGTACCGATGTAGCTCCAAGTGGGCAAATCACAGCTCCTCCCCTGGCCATTTCTGGTTGGCAAAATGGTACAGAGAGGGAGCCTAAGCCCCCTCTTTACATGCACTGTGGCCCCAATCCAAATTGGTGCTTTGTGTGTTTGGGAAGCAAAGAATTTCAGAGTGCTCCCTTCCACCTGACTCAGGGCTGTCCTGGGGGGGGGGGCACATAGTGTGTCAGTAGGCTATGAGAGTGACATCCCCAGTGGACTGAAGAAGGTGTACAAGACTCCCTTTACCTTTCTGCCTAAGAGGCAGTACTGAGCACACAGCAACTGCTCTTCCTCCTCTTCCTACCTGATTCCTTCCACTGCTGCCAGCCCCTTCTCCTAGATGGAGCCTCTTGACATGGGATTCCCTCTGCTCTCATTCTCCCGGCAGTGGTGAAAGGGACAGGAAGGGAGCCCCAAGTGAGCTCTGCAACAGCAGCTAAAGAAGGCATTGGGTCAGAGGAGGCCTTGGAAGTGTAGTCCCGCAGTGATCTCTCACTTGTGACCCACAAAAGTGTAGAACAGTCCTGAGTGAATTTATGAAAGAGTTAAAGCAAGTAATCACAGCTTTCTACATTTAGGGTTATTCATTTCAAGACACTTTACTACTATTTGCTGGGACAGACTGTTTGTGTGAGCCTTATCACCATGAATGGGCTTTGCGCTCTCTCTCTCTCTCTCTCTCTCTCTCTCTCTCTCTCTCTCTCTCTCTCTCAGGGTGACACAGATAATTTGTTGGGTAATTCAGTTACAAAGGTTAAAGTGTTGGTTTTATCAGGAATTGGAAAGTGATTATGAAAGATGATAAAATTCAAATGTGGTATATGCAAGATAAGGTTTAAAAACAAAAGCTCCTTTGTCTCTGTCATAATGTTCTGTGGTTTCTAGGAAACACCCCACCCCAAAGAAACGAAAACGCATTGGCAAACTTCTACCAACACTATACTGATTTATTGATCCTGCCTAGGCCAACTCAGTATGCTAGTTTAGGCAGGGCTGGGCCCAACTGAAATGAATTTGCACCTGCAGGATACCTTGCTTATCTAAGTCAGTGTCTGAGATAAAACCTGCACTTCCCATGACCCCCATGCAGCATGAGGCACCTTTCAAAGCAGGGACAGTGTGAGGCACACAGAACAAATGCAAGAAATACACTGATACACATTCCTTCCCACACATGGAAGGGATAATACCTAGGCCTGATTCACACAGATATGTGGGAAATGAAGTGGCAATTAGATGGCAGACCTGAGGTGATAGAATGGTTTGAAGTAGTTCAGATGGAAGATCATGGAGGATCAAACGTTTAAATGCTTCGCTATGTTAAAAATTTGCCACACATAGAAAACCAGCAAAGCAAGGAAAGAGAGGGGACAATACTTCTTTGCTGTGAAAGGTTTCAGTCCCCATGGGATTTTTTGAGGAAAGACTGGTCAAATCTGGACTCTAGCACCTGCAGTCTGAAGTAGTGCCGTTCATTCTACTACCTCAAGGCTTTGCCATCTCATGTGAACTCGGCCTTAGACAATACACCGCAGCATTGACTGGTTCCAGCTCTGCTTCTGTACTCTCTGACTTCAGTGCACATGTGGGAAGACCTCATTTCTACCTCGTTCTTTTATTGCCACAGTGGCCATGGCTTTAGCTGAGTTTAGCTGATGAGCGTTTACCTCATCTCTACAGTGGATAAGTGAAAGTCCTATGGATTCTGGGATGAGCTGGGTACTTCAAAGAGGAAACTTCTCCAGTGTGCCAAATAATATATGGACAGAAGGGACAGCAGCCAGAATCCAATTGACATGTTAGTTTATCTTGGGACTGGCATACATTATGCTCAGAGGCTGGTTCCACTTTCTGTTGCTGGGGACAGTTTATCCTCAAAGTGAGAAATGTCATTCTTTTCCCCTGTATTAACCAGACATTAAGTATTGGCAATATTTTTGAGAGTAGCATTGTAGCCTTAGGTTAAGATGACAGTTTTGAAGATCCAGTGAGGGTTAAGTCAATGCATTGGACCCACCTTATACCCACCTAGGATTACCCACTGTTTGGAGAGAAAAAAAGTCCTGTTCTTTTTAAAATAACTCAGTAGGATTTTATTAGGTGATTTTTGTTTACCATCATATAGCAAAACGCTTCAGCTGCTCATTCCTACTCTTTAAACCTTTATTAAAGAGACAGGACATTCTTCTCCAGGCCTGTTGACAACCCTGTGCTGAGCTCCACGGGTCTTATGTATTTTTGTACTCAGATTTTTATTTCACATCCAGGTTGCTCTGGGCAATGAACATGGTTTTTCCATTTTATCTACAACATCTGTGAATTAGGTTACATGGAGGGGTATTCCCTAGTGAGCTTTATTGCAGAATGGAGATCTGAACCATGGTTTCTTCAGTCCTAGTTTGGCAGTCTAACAGCTAGATTTGAGTCCAGTAGCACCTAAGAGACCAACAAGATTTTTGGGGGCTCATAACCCCAAACTCTTATTGGTCTCTAAGGTGCTACTGGACTTGAATCTAGCTGTTCTACTGCAGACCAACATGGCTACCTTCTGAAACTGACTACCACTAGCTTTTTAATGTTTTCAGTAAAAGTTTGAAGAGGTTCTTCGTGTTGTAGCCCCAGATTTAATATCTTTTCTGAAGAAAAAGTAGTTAGAGTAATAGGTAGATTTTACAATCTATCTATTTTGGTTTGGATTACAGGTATTTATTTATTTATTATTTGTATTTATAGCCTGCCCATCCCACCCAGGTAGAATAACAGTAAAAAATTAATATAGATTCAGGTGAGTAGCAGCAGAACAAAGTCTGAGTCTAGTGGCACCTTTAAGAGCAACAAAGTTTTATTCAAGGTATAAGCTTTCATGTACACACACACTTCTTCAGATACATTGAAATGGAAGGTTATGCTGAAAATAGATCTGGATGCGAAGGAACCTCTAGGTCAGGGGTGTCGAAATCATTTGTTATGAGGGCCAGAGCTGACATAAAGGAGATGTTGTTGGGCTGGGCCATGTGTGTCATAAAATGTAATGCCAGGTAGCAGAGATATAAACTTTATAAAGGACACAGGCAAACATTTAAAGATTTTTAAACTTTAAATAAAACATGCTTAAAACACTAGCACTTGCAATATTTTGTCTATTTAACAGTTTCTGATAACTGACACCTCCTGCTCTGAATTATTGCATCAAAATGTCTGTGCTGTAGCAATCTTGAGTATGCTGTTAAGGTGTGTATCTGTAAGCTGCAAACCTTTTGATTTATTGACATTCATTACAGAAATCTCATGCTCAGTGTTCTGAGCCTAGGACACAGGGGAAAACATGAAATGGCTGGGTATTGCGAGCTTTTGTACATAAGTTGCTTCATGTGCTGGTCAAGAACAAGAAAAGGCATCCTGACACAGACTGAGGGCTATGTGTTTGTCTACAAAAGGAAATGTGCTGGGTGAACTTGGTCTGGACATACATTCTCAGCCTAATCCACCTCACTGGCTTGTTGTTATTCCTCCTTTAAAATAGTTTGCATTACTTTCTTACTGAGAAAGACTAGGTCATGAGGGCATGAATACAGTGAAAAGGGGGAGAGAACCTAGTTGCACCCAGGAGAGTTCTGGCATAAGGAGCCCAGCAAAACACACACACACACACACACACACACACACACACACAGAATAAGGAACCAAACAAAGTACACACACACTGTAGCAAGGCATACAAAAGCTCATACCTTGAACAACACTTTGAACAGAGCCGGAGGTTTTTATTCTGCTTAAGCAGAGACTTATTGATATAGAACTGCAAGAGCTCAGAGCTCTTGCTTCCAGTAGGTGCTCCTCAGTTAGATGGGCCTATCCACTCTCTGGTGCTCCACCACAATATTTTTTCTCCCTGATATCACCGCAATTGTGCAGAGCTTACATGCTAGCACGGTTCAATGTGCTCCCCTCTGCTATTCTTGAGGGGAGATATAAGAAAATCCCTTATGCAATTAGATATTGCGAATGCAATAAGAGAGAAATAGAAACAGTTGAGATGTACTTTTACGTTGTAATTTGCTAAACGACATTCAAGCAAAATTTCTGGAAGTCCCCCTTAGCAAGGTAGCATGCCAATCGGACGGAAGCAAGCTACATTACCTCCTTACTTCTCGAGATTCGGAGATTATTGAATTGACTGCCAA